CACAAAAAACATGAAACCGCCAAACTATTTGCTCCTACGTACGAAATGAGTATGAAGCGAGTTGGAACTAAAGCATTAATTCTATGGTGTTCTCATTCGACAATGATAGTCTCCACTGTGTGTCGGGTTCCAGCGACTTTTTCAGTTTCTACAAAAGAGAAGAAATAAAAAATTATTCGCAGTCTCCCGGACCAAAATAATGAGCACAACTGAAAAGCATGGCAACATTATGCAACCAGCCAAAAAAATGAGGATGTGCTGTTTAACAAGTATTGTCCATATTATGTTATCATATTAACGTCTGGAATACCAACATTTGAATGTTTAACTGTCAATAATTGTTCTTTTCTGTGGAGTGGTATCCCCTCTTATGACATAGACAGAATCTGAACCGGGACTGATGGGAGGGGGTTGCAATGTGCCAGGAGAAGCAGGCCTAGTCTCCTGGATAAAAAATTACCTGCACACGAAGTATAGTTAAGCCAATCATTTACCATCGTAAATAAACTTGATGTTGGAACTTCTTCTGTAGTCAAATTAACAGAGCTCCAGATAAGATTTTCCTCACGTGGGTACTGTACCCACTGTATTTTCTTGGAGTGGGTATTATAAATGTTGAGTGGGTATTTCATTTTCCGTTACCCACTTCTTTCAAATATGTGGGTACTTCAGTGATTTTACTCAGCTAAGTATAATGTCTTTGAGTAAGTTTAATAAGCAGGTATGTACTGCTTTATGTCATACCTAATCAAAACCAACTTAAATATAATGGAAATAATTTCATAAAAATTCACTCATCCTGCCTACACTGACAGTACAACTTGATAGCAACTGATGTCTTTTTCATAACGCAAGCGAGTTTTATAAATGTATTTGGTACGCATATGTTTAAAACTTTTTGCGTATCTTACACTTTAAATGCGTAATTGGTACGCAACGATTATTTTTCAATGCGTAACTGGAAATTTTCTATGCGTATTTTACACGGATACGCAGTTTATCTGGGCCTCTGCAGTCAGTCAAACATATAAACATTAAAACATTGATCCCGAATCACTGTTATTAACAACGTTCCTGTCTATGCACAGCGCCGAACGACGTTACCTCTCTGATTGTATTTCCTTCTGTTTTGTACACCGTCCAGATGAATACAACGGGCAATGGTAAGAGTGAACCAATGGAGATCATCCATCCAAATCCCGTGGCCCAGGTAGGGTAGATGTAGTCACCATAGCTAGGGGGTCGGTAGGAGTAGAGGGAGTAGCAGAAGATGATCTGTAAGAAGGATGATTCAGGGCATGACCAATGTTTGACCAGTTTGGTCAAATCTATATGCAATATTGTCTATTTACAATTTTGTTTGCGGCTCAGAAGTAATGGTAATGATGTGAGGCAGATATGATAACAATGAAACGATTGTCTGTCAGTTATGGGGCATTATAATACAATTGGTAAATTCACATACATGAAAGCATTATTTCGTACTTGAATGTGTAACACCACCTTATCTTCTGGACGATTTTGTAAAAGCTATTCTCCGGTGTCTACTCTGTACAAACAAGGACATGTTATACCACTGTGCCTCATACACCGACATGAACATGCGAAAATGGACAAACTACTCAACTATATAACATGTTATGTGGAAATGTTTTAAAAAGTATAGCAATTGTATCACGTTGCTTCTGTTAAGAGCAGTAGTGTGCTTATTACTGTATTTGGACCGGGATGGGTGCCGATCCAAAAGCTTTACGACCTATCGTAACTCTATACTTTATCATAAGCTTACGAATGGCATAGTGCTACGAACGCTTTGTGGATCGTGACCCTGGACCCTAAGCTACTACAGCAGTCGAAATATTCCAGTATAATCTCACACAGTGTGATAGGCAAAGTTTCAGAACAGAAACGCTTTGCATATATTAATGGCCATACCAATGTGTTGGTCGTCTCACATGTGTTTCTTCCTGGATTCTCAGCCTGAGCCTATTTTGGAAACTTGGCCACTGTTGCATCTAGGCAAATATCATACCTGTATTCTATTGCTGTTTTAATATCACATTGGCATTGTATTGTTACTGCCATTGTAATTCCTGTAATGTAATTTGAATTGATTTGTGTACTTTGTTAATTTTACAATTAAAAAATTATCAATTACAATAACATATTATGTCGCATTTCTTTTGCTTGTTGGTGTTTTTTTGTTTTCGCGGCATTGTTTTTAACATGGGAATCAACATTAACAAACAACATAGAAATGTGGCACGCTATTCTTCTTAATATCAAACTTGACAAAGTAGAACTTTGTCACCTATTATACATGTAAACTACAGTCAGTCACGAAACAACAATGTCACGATAATAGCAGATTGCATATGACAAACGGCCGTTGTTTGTGAACAAAGGGAGACACTGTCACCTACCAAAAGGAGTCCTGGGCTGATGAATTTCAGGCTGAAGATCATGACCCTTGGAACAGTCTTCCCGCACATCATTTTGATGAACTCCTCCATTCTCTGTGTGCCTAAAATAACACCAAACTCCTTGCGTAATGTATGTTTTAATGATCTACAGGGACACTCGCATCAGCAGTGTAGATCATTCGCGTCATGGTGTTACCAAAAGACTTTAATACCATAGTTGAAAGAGGTAGCACAATATGATGAGGCTGTTAGATATATATCACGTATCACTTACGGTTGTTTAGTTTTTGTTTTCAATTCGACTTTGTTTTGTCTCTGTTGAGTGCTTACCATAGATCCAGCTGACAACAAAGCATTCCAACATGCCAAAAACTGCTATTGAGGGGAAAAACGCATACCAGTCCACCAGTGTAAGCATGTACATTCCTCCCTGTCATAAAACACAGTTTCAACATTATGAAGACACGTGTTACTCAACAAACACTAGATCACATATCAACCTATACAAACAACCGCACTGTATTGTGAAGTTAAGTATTGCCAATCAGTTGATAGGAAAAAACATTGTAGAAGTCTGACAAGTCAAAAATCAAAACAACGATGTTGTGGACAGGGAAGGCACTAGGTACTTTTGGACAGTTCATGATATTCACCTGTGTCAGGTACAGTAGACCAAGGAGGAAACATGGCACCAGGACCATGAGGATCACCACCAAACGTCGGCGAGATAGGCATGGAAACTGATCTGACAATGCTGTTATGGCAATCTCGTAGCATGGTAACTGTATAGAAACGGGATTTCAATATATCAACCACAGTTGTGTGTTCTCAATATATACCCATGGGAAAAGGTATCGCAACACCCTTTAGTTTTCATAGTATAAATATGTTTTCCTTAACCATAGCAAAGGAACCTTTCCAAACCTCAATTTACCAGTGAACCCTTCTCCATGACGTCAAATTCCGATGACGTCGAGCTTTTACACCAATCTAGTCGTGCTGCTTTGTGCTCTGGGATAACAACGGACATCTGAGTGGTCTCTTTGCCCGACTGTTCTGATGGGCAAACGACGATGTGGAGGCCACTCTGTTTTAAACACGCGACTGGCATGAACGGATGAAGACGTGTGATCCTCAGCAAGGCGGTATCATCCTCAGAAGCTGTCACTCTTAGCCGCCCTGTCAGTCTTTAACGTTATTAGTTTGTTGGCGTTTTCTTGCAAATGGGCTGATAGTCGATTGCTAACAACCCACATTTCTTACAAAAGACCCCAGTGCCAGACCGGAATTCCGCATTCCAAGAAATTGCACTCTCTGAGCAGTTGTCAGTTGAGGAGGCCATTCATATGCTTATCAACAACGAAATGAATGTTTATTCCAGAGTATTTGCGAGAACAAATTACTGAAATTTCTTATGTGCCTAATGACGGTTACACGTAACGCAATGCTCATGATACTCACGTTTTTTATCGTAACGCGGGCATATCTAAAATCAATGTATGGTGCTTTCGAAGGCACAAAATAATCATACAGACATAATTATAATATGCATATGAATGGAGGTTAAAATCATAGTTGTTGCGATACATTTTTCCATGTGTATAGTAGACACCATATATTCATATACTAGTATCCCATTTTATAGACTAGCATAAATATCTATTTATCATGTAATTACAACTTCATATAAACAATTTACCAAAATAACAAAATGCAAACCATCGTATCCGTCTCCTGTCTGTGTGATCGATTGTTCAAAAGAAAGGCATAAAATAAGGGCCTTTTAAAGCTTCTATAAATATCAATTCTTATGTTGTGGACAAGATTGAAAGACATTTGTGTGAACATTGTCCCCCCTTGAAATTTCTGATGACTCGCCTTTCTAGTATATATATGCAAGCATTGAAGGTCTGGTCATGACTAAGACTTGTTTGTATTGAAGTATTTACAAAACGTTTCGAGACATTTAACCTTACATCAGCTGTTTGTGTTACTTCATACCCCAAAATACTCAAGTAAGTTATTTATGAACATATCTGATGATATACAAGCGATGTTTACAGGTTTTACTTATTTCTTGGAAAGGAATTTTTGGTCAGATGGGTGTCGTTCTCTAGAAACCATACGTAACCAGAGAGTCGATTCCGAGTGTTATCAACATCAAGAAGGTCAAGACAGACCACAACTGAGGCAAGGGGAGTGCCGCCACTGCTTCCGGGTATGCGATGAATCCAAGGTTGTAACCTGTACAAATAAAAACACGATTGTATTCATCAAAATAGTGAAGATTGATATTAACACTGTCCCTGATGAAACAAGATATACAATTGCAAGTTTCCGTACACTGTATCTGATGTCATCTGGTAGTAGCCCGAGGCAACAGAATACCATTAGTACAAAGAAAAGGTATTCGTCACATAGTACTGTTTACTTCATGTGTCATTTGATATTTATGATGACCTATAATATTTGTGATCCTGAGTGTCTTTGTATGATAAAGAATGAATAAATCACTAGCTCGGGCCTCCGTACAATTTGGGCTGGTGTGTTTTGTATTTCATGCTTAAATGAACCCACACAAGTGACTGATAATTCTGAGCAAGTTTTAATATTTGGTACCTCGTAAGATGTATAACAATGTAAGCTTAACTTCTTTGGGTGGTATTTAGAAGCTGGTGTGATGAACAGGAACGATTTATCATGGATAGACACCTTCTTTATTGCAATGGATGCGACGTTTAATAACTTGCTTGATAACGGTGTCAGCATCTACACCGAAACGTCCCATCCATTGCAATAAAGAAGGTGCCTATCCATGATAAATCGTTCCTGTTCAATATCAGTTGTGTCTCCTCCTATCAATGCTGATAGACATATAACAACCAAATGATTCACAATACAGGAATGTATGTGATGGCAGCGCTGGTGTTGTCATGTCCACCGGCCACTTGTAGCTGGTTTGTGAAACAAAATATTATGAACTGGTACGACCGTTCTATTTGTAACTGATGTTCATCTAAGACATTTTCATTCCTTAAATGTCTTTGAGCTGTGGTGAAAGCTTCAACAATACTATGAATGAAAGACAAATCTTATGGATAACAACTTCTTGATTTATGTTTCCACCTGAAGAAGGGGCAAGAAGTAGCCCAGAAACGTTATCAGAAATACATCAAGAAGTTGTTATCCATAAGATTTGTCTTGTGTTACTACACCACTAAGTGTGAAAGGTGTGTATAAGCTGATGCCGTGGGTCAATATATATTAAACATAATACAGAGAAACTGCTAAAATGACTGGAGTTGGGTACAATCAAGGAAGTACCTGAGTATTGGAACGTATCTACAGTCACACCACGCAGATGAGCAACGTGACCCATGATTGCGAAGAAGGCAAACCCATTATATACAGATGATAATGCAGTAGCGATCACCAAAGTCACAGCGTCCCTACAATGAAATTATTGTATAGGCATTGTGTATCAACGACATGTTGTATACAGCATATGAACCATGTCCACAAATCCAGCTCCACCAATTGTTCCTCTGGGCCCACGGATAGAATGTGTTCCAAGTTTGTTGGGCAACCCGTTTGTTACTTAAAATATAAACACGTCTTTTGAGATGATATTGTAACGTTGATGAATACTAGAGTACCTCAAGATTGATTTCCTAATCCGTGTGATATCAGTTACGCTACTAAGTATTGATGGGGTAGCCCACAGGAAGTCCGCTCTCATGTACGACTGGACAGCTCGAATCCAGTCTGCCGTACATGAACCCATATTATCTGCGATAACTAAATACAGTGACTATATCAATATAGGTAGTCTCGGAAAAATAATGTACCTGAAGCAATTGTTGTTAAGTTTGTTGTGTCCTGCCATTGTTGGAAGACATCCAAACCCAATTCCGTATGCGAGCAAGGCGTAGTTACAACCCTCAATCCAAATCTGCAAATAGAATCTGAACTGAATCATAGCAATTGCAGTTATGTTCAGAACAAACAGGAACACAGGATAAGTGTCCAAATAACTTCAAGCATAAGAAAATATTTGTCATATGTATGCATTATTTCGAGGAAAATATTTTCGGCAGTGTAGAATATTACACAGTTATAGAAATATGAAAAGATTCCGTTTTCGCTGGCCTGATGAAAGTCAACGAATAAAACTCCGATATGTACACCAATACTCGTTGTCATGAATATTACATGAAACATTTTATCATCTTTATCTATACAATACGCAAAGAAAATCCAATAAGACAAATTCAACGTGGATAACGTGTTCGTATCATTTTCATTTACTTACGAGAGACAGTAAAACTGCAAAATCTTGCAAAACTGCAGATCATATAATACATTTTGGTGAAAGGGCCGCCAATCTTCCTCACCTGTGGATCCAGCAACTTCTCAAAATGTGGGTTAATGAAGAAATATATTCCGTCAGCCGAACCCGGAAGCAGACAACCCCGGACGAGGAACACAGTCACGATGATGTAAGGAAGGCCCACGGTGACGTACACCACCTGTTGTCGTAGAAACAGGAAATAAACTGGAGTAGATACTAGGACCACGTGTATGCTCTGACAAACCAAAGATCAGGAACCTCGTTAGGATGAGAGAGCCTCAAAACCTTGGTGCGCCTAGTGGCTGCAAGAGTTCTATACTCCCAGGGAGTTGAGATTGATAATACGATGTGCCGTTGAGATTGACTTCCAATGAGGGAAAAATACCATCGCCTTGAGCATGTACTAGTTGCGTGGATATGTGCGCTATATAAATATGCTATAATAATAAAAAGCAAAGGATATATTATATAAATGTATGCAATCGACAAACGCGTCGCATTTATATCGATCTGTCTCTGATGGTCTTTACCTTTCCTGAAACCTTGATCCCTCGAAAGAGACACAAGAACACTACGATGTATGTGATAGCAAGACAGCCAACCAAAGGCCACCGTATACTACCGAGATGTTCCAGGCCGTCGCTAATCTGTAGGACCTTTAACCTGTCCAAAATAGAGGTACATTACGGGTACTGATGCATATAATACTGATAACAGGTAACAGGAGTTATTTGAATCATGACTCAGATAGAGGATGAGAGCTAATTTATAATGACGGTTCATGAAACTTCCATTTTGACCTCACAATAAAGCATACACATTCAACATTTGAAGCGATGTCAGAACATTAATTAACAGATTTCGCACTTCGGATTGATGCCTGAGCTTAAACTGGTTCCGGAAAGGTTTTGTTGTATTTATTTACAGTTAGCATTATCAGTCTGAATCATGCCGCTGAGTAACATCGTGTTCAGCATGAACATGAAATCATCGTTTCAGACCATGTATTCTGTTTGTTGTTTCACGTAGCGCAAACCATATTGAGAGCAACAGAGCCATCATGGCTGAAGAAAATATCTACTAAGACCACTAATTCTGTGACATCAGTACTGAAACACTTCCAGTATACATCATCTAAGCGCCTTAGAGTGCTAAAGCACACAGGGCTTTGTACACATTTTGTATATTATTATCTAGTGTACAGTATCCAGAAAAAACACATCTTATATGAAAACATGTGGTTTCCCTTCCTACGTCCAGAATTCTTCAGCCGAAGTGATCCCCGTCACATTGATTCCATTAGGCAAGGCAGAAGAATTTTGAATGACCATCGCTGCACTGGAAACATCAAGTGAATGATTTGTTGCGTTGGCAGGTGCGTCATCGCCGACTTTGTTGAACGTTATACACGATGGTGTGTTCCATGGGTTGTCACAGTTACTCCAGGGAATGTTGGGAAAGAAGGAGTGGTAGAAGTAGTAGATTAACCAGGAAAACAGGGCAGCATAGTAGGTGCTGTAGAATATGCCGATGAGGACGTTCCCCATTCCCATACCTGGAGGAAATGTATTAATTTAGGTCATGGGTAAAGGCTAGTATAACAAAACGCAGGGTCATAAAACTACTTTTTATAACAAATATTGATTATACGTACAATTCTGTATTTAAAAATGTATAAATTGTTATTCTAGTATCATGACTATTCCATAGTGCTTCATAAAAAACAGGCTCTGTCATCGTATCGCATGGTTACAATCACTGGACTGTCTGGTTCAGACTCGATTGTTTACAAACCACATCGTACAGCTGTAATACTACTGAAACAAATACGTACTCATCATATAGTCCACCTTGTTTTCATCGCTATATAGCTGTAATATTGCCGATGCGATGTCAAATTTTCACTCACTCACTCACTCACACACACACACACACACACACACACACACACACTCACTCACTCACTCACTCACTCACTCACTCACTCACTCACTCACTCACTCACTCACTCACTCACTCACTCACTCACTCACTCACTCACTCATGAGATATCTAAATGAAGAATGGTCGTTGTTGTGATGATAGTAACAGCAGTGAATATACAATTTCCGTGACAGTGGTGCAAGTTTGATAGATTACTTACACATACCCACAACCCTTTTCTCTTGCTATAAACAATTTCAAATTGACAACAGAGCAAAATCACACCAGCTTCCTCCGTTAACCACCAACACAATCTATGCAACATGAACAAGGGTTTGCCTCTTCTATTTTGTACAGTTTCTACAAAGTATCAGCTTTCATTGGACTTTTCACTGCCTCTTCGTTAAATTATATGAGGTTCTTTTTACTTTCCCAAACTGAGCAGCAATTCATATTTCCTATGAACAGCGTACAGGAACAAAGGGAGCAAATCGACGGGGATGCGTACATATTTCCTGAATTTCCCATTATAATTTCAAACAGATGTTACATAACCAAGCATATTGTTATGAGTGTGTGCTTTTTGTAATTTGTAATAAAACGTTGATTAAGTAATAGTTATTATGGGTCACAATGTTGAAAGTGTTGAGTGTGGGCAATAGTATTTGTAGCGGTACACCTTTTTGATAGCACTTTGAAAGTTGCCTCCCTTGGTTGGCTTTTATTTGTTTTGACGTCTTGTTTTCGTGAATGTTCTCAGTGGATAAAGATGCAGCCTAGCTCTACTAGAATGCTCTAGATCTGTGTAAGCTATATAAAGGCTGGTTGTTGACTCACACACACGGATGTGCCACACACACACGGATGTATCACATGATTGGAGTTTACACATCTGCCTATCGTCTTCAAGTCTGTCTGTCAACATTTCAACACCGTGCTTATCTATTCTACTACTGTCGTTGTAAACAACCTTCAATCAGTATATCTGTTCTCACCGTGAATGTCAAGACTGGTGAGTTAATATTTCAGATTTGTGACCCAATATTTAGATTTGCGACTCAATTGCATTGTACCAGATATCTGTATTGTCATTCATTGTAACTTGCTCAGTGTTTGCTCAATATATTATTGAATATTTTAGACTTGTCTGTGTTCTATTTTTGCTGGTTCAAAGGGGACTCTTAAACCTTTTGTCACGGCAAATTTATTAACTGCAACAAAATGTGTTGTACCTTTAAACGGTGGACACATGTTCCATACTTTAACTGCTCCACTCTGTGAGAACTGACCGATCGCCATTTCAAGGAACACACAGGGAACTGAGCCGATGATCAGGAATACCATATACGGTATCAGGAATGCTCCTTCAAAACAACATGTACTGACATGAATCTGATTGGTGAATGCAAGAATTCTCAATGCATCAATTATTACACGCAATAATACGATACTTTTGATGATCATTCCTACGAAACGGCTTCATTAATTGTGGAACTATTTTAACCATCAAATGTTGTCATGTTTGGTAACACTGATAATGTTCTTTACATCATAATATCACTATATAGATAAGACGACGAATGGAAAATATGAAACGGCTGTCGTGTAAGAAGTTTGATACGAACGTTGTGAACGACACAAGGGACACATCTGAGGCGTTATACCTTCAAATACATACATCAATTGGCCAAAACATATACATGCCACACAGAAATTTCTGTATCCCTCGATGTCTGTCCTAATACTAACCTCCTCCGTTTCTCACACACATGTAGGGAAACTTCCACATGCTTCCCACTCCAAGGGCGTAGCCAAGAACTGTCATCATGTAGTCCACGTGGGATCCCCATTTCTCGTGCTCCATCTCTGTTGGAAACGAAAGGGTAAAAAGTAATAGTTATAACGACTTGCGAGTGTGAAAGAAACTGAATGCAGGTGAAAAGCGTCAACACTTTTCCCACCGTTGGTGGCGGATGTCCATTAGCACATAGCGTTTAGCCGCAGTGTTCCCCTGTCCACTGTTTGAACTTGGTAACTAGATTTGCGTCTTTATGCTAAGTAAGAGCAATTTCTCGGGACACACTGACAAACATTGGCTGTGAGTTGAGTTGAGTTGAGTTGGGCTTTACGTCACATCGGCATTATTCCAGCCATATAGTGACGAGAACAAGTCTGCATTAATAAACATTGTAAGTACAGTGAAAATGAGTTTTATTCCAAAAGCATATATTCATTACATTGTCATTTAAAAACAGAAAAAGTCATAGCACCAAGTTTAAAAGCAGGCAATTCGTTAGTCACATTACAGTTACAATTTATGATACAGATACATTGGCTGTGAATCCACATGTATGTACAGCGAAGAATAACTGTTTTGAAAGGATCTGGAAAAGAGGTAACAGTTGAAGTGGTCACCAGTTCCTTTTATTATAGTCGTTTTTTGTTGCTACTACATGTGTTACTGTTACATTGTGTTCTTGTTTAGTTTGCCGTTTGTGCACTATTGTCCAATGCGTGTGTGTATGTGTGTGTGTGTGTGCGTGTGTGTGTGTGTGTGTGTGCTTGTCTAAGATTAACATTGTCGTTAAAACCTTCCTCTGCGCAGAGCATTGGAAAAGAACCTATTAATGATATAAGTCCATGGATTCTGTTATTAGCATTGTCGACAGACTGACAGTGTTACAGACTCCCTCATTTCATGATAGAATTTATGCATAGGCAACTGCTTACAGAGCTACAGGATGAGTCTTCTAAAATGTACTTACAGTAGGGAGTAGAGACGAAAGATCACTAGCAGCTGCATAAACACTATTTCGTATAATATCATTTCAGGTTTGGGCACAAGGACGCATATATTATCTTATGAAACGGATCATCAAGGTGTGAAAATGCATTTGTCCAAATAATTTATGTGAATTTTAACAAAAACATCTCTGTCGTTATCACAGACACATTTCAATGTGTCACGTCTCCCATTACAACGTATTGCAATATAATCTTTGTTAGCCCTACATTGTAATGACGTCATTTGGTGGACGCTCACAGAACAGAACATAACTTTCAGCATACAATAAAAAGGGTGTTTCTTGTCAAACAGACTACATTCAATTACCATGGGCAGCGTAACATAGACGATAATACACAGTCCGTATATTTCATGTACATACGAACATTCAATGATGCCAGACGTTTTGGAGTTTCACGGATTTGGATGGTCTTATCCATACATGAGCATATACAGCTGAATCGGATGCATATCTATATGTTTAATACCTTCCAGTAAGTAGCGCGTTTGTATTAGTACTCATAACGTGAAATATCCCTGGTAGAAACCTAATGTACATGTTGTGCATAACAACGGATAACATCTCAACTTGAAGGGTTGTAAAGGGAGATGAGAATGTAGTTTATGAACACACCCATTGCTTTACAAAGAAACGGAAAGTAATATAACATGCACGGGACTGTTCACGAAGATAAATCATCCGTTCTGGTGTCGACATGTGACCGTCTCTGCTATGTTAACACATCCTTACGTAATTGACAACCTTTTCAGACCTTTTAACGTGAAACGAGCATGCAGCGTCCAGATCTCAAATACTGGCATTTACCACTCTTGCTCAGAAGTTGTACAATCAAGGTTAAAACATTCAAGGCTTCAGTAATGTCTTCAAAACCTGTAACGGTTTGTATGTGGAGGCAATTTTAAATTTGATATTCCACGGACGAAATGGAACCACTGCAATTCCCTATTTCGATTTACATTCCTATGTTGCATCCATAAATCGCCTCACTTTAGAGTTGTTCAATCTGCTCTTACCTTTTCAGAGATGCGGTTATGGTTTGGTCGCTTTTATTCTGTAGTGTTGCAGGACTCATGCAATTACCACTGTTCGCCTGCTATTCACCTTATTCCCATAAAAGAGACATAATTTTGTCCACTTTACATTCAGACAGGTGTTGATTATTAGCCATCTGTGCATCTGGCACTGCAATAGAGTTCTCTACACGATGCCTGAATATGATCGTACTTCAGCAAATATGTTTTAATGACCCTGACTGAACTCGACAGGTGTTCAAAAATGGTCCCAGATTCGAAAATGCCAATGTGGAGCAAGTACGAAATATTTGAGTTACATACAATCAACCTGTACACGTCCAATTTATTATTGTGGGAATCATAGATGTCAATTGTCACGCCAGATCAATGCTTGCTCATTTACGTTGTGACACCTACTGTGGCAGTATCATACAAATGCACTGGTCGAGTCCCAAGCCATTTATGTCAGCTATCACCCACACGGGGATATGATGATGCATTGCCGATTATATGTTACAATACATTAATCTGCTGCAATTATTTGTTATGATCACTGGAAAATCATGACCTTTCTTTCTACTAAATATGTATAATATATGTATGCTATGAATACATAATGTATTGACATTATTCATCGCAGCTGTTACACATGAAGCTCAAGAGAGATCCAACATTTTGAACTGACATAGACATGTATTGGTAGGTCCATATCGTATTCAATGGACGGTTGGTGGGAGGGAGAATGGCGTATATTGTTCCCGAATTTTTGATTGAGACTATTTACAAACAAAGAACATATCTGTCACAAAGATTCTATTTTCCCAAATGTCATGTTTGTCAATGACATTTAGTCTAATCGTTTAATGAACAAACTGTCTCTTTTTGCGTGTTGGTGGAGAGGTCGATTATTGTCAAGATTTTTTCAGGGAAAATATGAACACTCATCTCTCATCTGACGTTTGCTTATTCATGCCCACGAAAATTGCATTCATTTTCAGCAAGCCATGCTCGTCGTAAGATACGACTAACGGGATCGGGTGGTCAGGCTTGCTGACTTGGTTCACATGTTCACATGTCATCGTATCCCAGTTGCTTAGATCGATGCTCATGCTATTTTCGCTGGATTCTCTGGCCAGCTCCGATTATTTACAGTCCACCGCCGTATAGCTAGAATATTGCTGAGGGCGGCGTCAGACAAACAAACAATACCTTATTCATATTTGAGGAAATATTCATATTCATTTTAAGAGGATGCATACACCTCGGTGTCAAATCACAAAATGTGTATGTAATACGTGGCGTCACAATGACCTGCGTGGTTTTGTGACTTAAAACGAAGTCTGCCACCAAACAACACATATTTATTGATAAGAATCCCATGATAATTTTCTTGTGATGATGTGCATAACATTTTGTGTTTCGGTTTCCTTAATGTTCCTGCTAAATGACCTTTCACTAAAATACTTAAAACCTGGGAATAATTGATCACCGAAACGCTTTCAACTGGGTTTAAAAGGCAAAATAGTGATAAAAATGTAGTCTAAATGGAGGATCTTATTCATGTTGATGTACCTTACTACTTACTGTTCATGACGTATAAGAATGTAGGACATGTTTAACCATTTCACTAACACACTGCCATACAGTGATCCATTCATATATTTTGTTCCGGTGTGTTGCTTTATCTGACCAATAAAATAAGTGTCTTTGGATAATCGATGTTTCTCTGGCGTTGAAGCTGTTTAGCATAGGTTATGAAGAGGAGAGTTGAAGGCTAAATTATGATAGTCCATGGGCTGATATAGGTGACACCCTCACCCCACACCCCCCCCCCACCCCCGGGAATTTTGAAGACTATATTTTTTTGAAAGCTTATCATATGTACATTCTAATTCCAGGTGTTTGCAGGCTGGGTGCGGGGGATTTTTCACGCAGTGACCCCCCAAAGAGGGTCAGGGTGGGAAAAATTTCGGAAAATTAGTTTTTGCTTTTTTCACAAAATACATTCTAATAACTGCTTTCTATCAGGAACTATAAAAATATTTAAAGTTTATTGATAAGTTACAGGTACAGGAAGACATTTACTTTGAAAAATGCATTGCGTCTAACGAAAAAATTAAACTTTATAGTTGTTTTCCTACACTTTCTAGTGGGCAATTGTTTTAAGAAGGTATTCTTGTTTCAATAGCTGTAAAATGATCAAAATTAATGTTACAGCTATACTTAAAGCATGAAAGGACTTTGAGATGGTTTATTGTAGTCTGGGTGCTGGGGATTTTTCATGCCCTGACCCCCCAAGAGGGGGGCCAGGGGGTAAAAATTTGGAAAAATTTCTTTTTTTTCTTTTTTTCACAAAATACATTCTAATAACTGCCCTTTATTAGGAACAATGAAAATATCTAACATTTATTATTTAGTTAGAGGCACAGGAAGACTTTAAATTTGAAAAATGCATTGTGTCTAAGGGGAAATCAGACTTGAATGCTGTTTTTCTACACTGTCTAGTTGGCAGTTGGTTAAAGAAAGTATTATTTCTTCAATTGTTCTAAAATGATCAAAATTAATGTTACAGTTATACATAAAGCATGGTGGTTTATTCTCACTTTGGCTTTTTATAACATTGAGTTACCATTACTTATATTTATGTACCTTTATGCCGAATCATCATAGATTGTGTCCAGAAGACTCTCAATCTCAACTTCGTCTGAATCCTCCATTCTACTCAAATCTAAGTTCTTGCTGGATATTATGTTTGTCAACTCTTGTGGAAGCAAAAACTAATTTTCCCAAATTTTTCCCACCCTGACCCTCTTTGGGGGGTCACTGCGTGAAAAATCCCCCGCACCCAGCCTGCAAACACCTGGAATTAGAATGTACATATGATAAGCTTTCAAAAAAATATAGTCTTCAAAATTCCCCCGGGGGGGGGGGAGGGTCACCTATATCAGCCCATGGACTATGAGGTTTGCCTTGTTAGTTGCTTGGTGAGATAGTGTTTGAGTGAAGTGTACCAGCTGACACGTACAATCCGGCAACTACT